TTATCATCGGATCAGCAACCTAAATGGCGTTCGAACTTAGATCTTGCGCTCCAACTAGAGGTTACCAGTGCCACTAACTATCACAAGCTATGCATAACTATACAGACGAGACAGGCCTATCCCATATCAGAATTGTTGCTTGACTGGTGACGACAAGACCATGACAATCGACAACATTTCTATAAACTGATTAAGTAGATTTCAAAATTTTTAATAGATTTTAATAAGAGCTCGATATGCCTAAGGCAGTGTGTTTCTTAAAGTTTCCCACGATTATATGAGTAGACACAACGTTTTCATTGAATTTCACATAGCCTTGCTTTCTGAAAGTTATTCCCATCGAGGCCTCGCCTAGGTCCTATCAACACCTTCAGCAGGACTAGAACCATGACAGTGCAGCTTGTGATTTTGTCATGTTAGCCACTACGCCACATTGCCACAAGTGCCCTTGGGTCATAGGGCAGATGTGAATTATAAGGAAGGCCAAGCATTTTCCCATATCACATTCTGTGGTTGTTATTTTCGGTGAAGAAAATTTGTATTTGCTATAGCAATCGACTACGTTGCTTATTTTTCTTCTATAAGTAGACCTTCGAGACTACAAGTAGAACATACATATGAGATGCATTTTATTTTCTTAGATAAGTAGAGTTTTATTTATTTTGACACACTGAACAGTCAATTTTGCAGCAGCTTAAATGATATGGGGTAGCTTGAACTTTTATTCAAGATCAATTTCTAGTTTCCAACCCTTCTGACTTCCTCCCGAAGGTTACTCAACGGTTAAATGAGCTCTTGGTGCCTGTGGTACCGGTAGGACGACGAAATCCGAGCTAGCGGTTAAGAGACCTGCCCATTCGAGTACTTAAATCCGATTGTTTGTGGCTTAAAGCGGGGATCAGAAAACATTTGGGCACAGAGATTGCCCACTCAGTGAGCTGCTGAAGTAGCCTAGCACACCTCAATTAGTATTGCTGATTCAACGATGGTGGCCGTCTTTTCTCAACCTGGCGCAGCTTAGTGGCATATTGGTTTGACCCATTTTTATCGTTAGTGGCAACTGACAACAGAGGGACGGAACAGATTCGTCTTGGCCGGAATGCCCCAGCTACGAATCCACGTATTTAGAAGATACGAAGTTTGACTGGACTGAGAAGAATCCTTTTTGATTACATTTATGTGGTGATTTGGACTTCAAATAAAGTCGGGGGATGAGGAGATTCATGGCTCGATCTAACCAAAGGAGTACGGCGAAATTCTGTTGCTGCGTGGTATTTTGATATGCATATGGAGTTTTGGATGATGCACTTACGATTAGAAAGGACTACGATGTCGTCCTGTTCCTCAGTAATAACAATATGCAAAAAATGGGTATCATGCCCACGTCTATTAATGTAGACATTCGATGCTCCAAGAGAGAAGCAAGACTAAGGACGAATGATGCAATACCGAGTATGTATACGAGGCCTCCGGCAGATTTGATAAGATAACTAATAAACAAATGGTTATTCAATTCTTTACTAATAAAAATATTTGTTGCTCCCTTATGAATTATTATAATGATATAATTAGTCTCGAAAACCCTACATCTATGGAATTTTAACCGTCCTTTTAGGAACTATTCTTCTTCCCAATTTGAAGCACCTCCTGCACGAGGGTTAACGTAAGGCGCATTGCACTTACCTATTCAAAGTATAATATTTCCACGCTCCAGCTGAACCCAAGAGTTTCTTTGAAGAAACCGAATCACAAACGGCTTCCTACTGCTTTAAACATGGAACACGCATCGAGGAAATGAACGGTGTCCTTGAATGTATGCATGGAAGAGAGACCTAGACGACTGCGCTCATTATTTTCGATTGGAGGGAGAAAAAGGAGAGACAAATACGGCTGGAAGGGACGATAAGGCGTGATACAGAAGAGGCCGGACTCACCGAGAATAACTTCAACGGATCCAAATGTCAGCGCCTCTGCAGTGTCCTGACCCCACAGCCCTACTGCCGCAAGAAGCGATGACTAGCTTTACAGGCCTACCGAGTCCTGGGATGCTCGTAGGTCCTGCCTATGGGCTCGGACAACATTCCGGGCCCGAAATGGCGACTTCCTCTGCAGGGGCGGTAGCAGTACCCGTCTGTGCCGGGGTAAACCAACGCTGCCAGATTTGTGGGGATAAGGCAACCGGTTAGAAACTTGGAAATGTCATTTGGTTCAAATTTTTTTAACATTTTTATACTTTATTGGCTATATTTATACCTTAAAATTACCTTTAAAATGCCAAACACTACAAGTATACTTAGTAATAGGTTAACTCAAAAGATTAAATTTTATTTATTAATTTTAATGAATATTTTATATTAAGATATACATTTGAATATAACCAGAGTTGTGTATTAACTGTTTTTGTGTTATACTGTCCCATTTCAATAGGTTTTGATCTGTGCAGAAGAATAGATACAATGGAAGTATTGAGGCTATCTGGTTGTGCACTAGCCCAAAACAGGGTAGGTCGGACTCACACAATGAAGTTTCGTGGATAAGATATGCCTCTCTCAAAAATTTCCTTTACCTGTTGTTACAACTAGATTTCTGGTTATAAACTAGACGTTTTTCAACCACGTTGATGTTGAATATCGTGAAATTAATTTTTAAGTAAGGATTGTATCTAAGTTGATTCAATAAGGGTACTTGATGGCATGATGTCTTGTTTAGCCATATTCTAAATAGTAGAAGACCCACATATACCAATGAAGTTCACTTAAACCTCCCTGGAATGAGTTTTTCTCATGCAGTATGAACTGCAGTCCCAATCTTGCAGCATCGTCTCATCAGCACTTTCGATGGGATTCGTGGTGTTACGTGTTAAGTTTCGCAGCCACGGGTGACGCAGGGTTATAGGATAGTTGCCACTTTGAATGGAA